TGTGTTAAAAAGCCTACTATTTTTGTTTTTTTTTTTTTTTGAAGGCTTCTGGGAGTTGCAGTCCAAAAACATCTGAGTAACAAATGTTAAGAACCAGTGAACTATAACAACTGAATAGTTCATAAAGACTTTTGCAACTAACTGTAAAGAGCAATATACAGTGGTACTTCACAAGACGATTATCCCTCAAAACGACGAATCCGCATGACGACGAGGTTTTGCTACCACCATTTTGCTTCGCAAAACAGTGATTCCTATGAGGGAATTTTGCTGGCCAACGATTTGGTCCCTGTTTCATGGACCATTTTTTCGCAAGACGATGATCTTTACAGCTGATCATTGGCTTCGCAAAATGGCTTCCCTAGGGACGATCTTCACTGGACGGGTGTTTTCGGGTCCGTTTTTCGCAAGACAGTGATTTAAAACAGTTGATCAGTGCTTCGCAAAGCGGCTTCCCTATGGGCGATCTTTGCTGGACAACAATGACTTTACCCCATTGGAATGCATTAAATAGGTTTCAGTGCATTCCAATGGGGAAACGCTTTTCACTAGACGATGATTTCGCTAAATAGTGATTTTCGCGGAACAAATTATCATTGTCATGCGGGGCACCACTGTATAGGTTTTGTTACTTGCCTTTAAATCTCGATGATTTCAGTTGATTTCAACAGCATAAATGCTGCATGCTACTCACTGCCACAAAATGTCACAATTTGGATTGATGTTAACTGCTTGACTGTGTTTTCCAGCCATGTACAGAAGCATCCCCAAAGCAAACTGATTTTAGCCATTTCCATGCTGGGGTGGTCCTGTTAAAGAATCAGTAATAATAAAAACTATTATCACCTCTGTTTGCTTTTCTGTTCTTTAAGTTTAATCCTTGAGTTAATGTGTTTTGTGCCAGGATTTGGATTCAACTTTACTCAGTGACTTCCAGACACTTCTTAAAGTCTCCTGAAAGACTGAGTGACTGGAATAATTTTTATGTGCAAACCTCCGGTTCCTGAGGGTCCAGTTCACTTCTGCTGTGAATTTAAATGAGTTAATTTAAGTCGTTGGGTCAGAAGCCACTATCATTGTAGTAGCCTTGTGCCTGGTTCTTAATTAAAGGCAACAGGAGATTAATTTGAAACATTAATTTAAAAGTGCCTTTACAAAAGGAAAGAATTATTGCAATAAAGCCTAAAGAACTTTTTTGTCCCTAGATGTAGAAGACAGAACTAGCTCAGGGTCCTGGGGGAATGGAGGACATCCCAGTCCATCCAGGGTAAGTATATCTAATCTTTTTTTCCTCTCACCAGACTTCCTATATATGCAAATTTAAAATATAAATGTGAGTTTTATAGCTGATTGCATAGGAAAATATATATGTAAATTTGGATACAGAGCAACCTCTTCGCAGAATCCTGATTTTAGATTTGTATGTGATCCCATGGTTGAATTTAACACTTGCTCTATTTTTGATAACAGGTGGCAGCAAAAGGTTGCCTTGCTTGTTTCTATCAGCCTTTGATCCATTACCCCAAATTATCTCTGGCCTAGAAGCTGAGCTTATGGTTTCTGTTGACTTTTCATTTGTTGTAAATGACTTTCCAGATGTTTTTACTTACAGGGGCAAAATACATAATATAGAGTTTGGGCACCATGCATACAAGAGATATGCGAGCTCTATACTTGGCTAAGTTTAGCCAGTATTTTTCTCATTAAGTGTATCTTTAAAAATTGCTAGTAAGCATGAACAGAAGAATATTTACAAGAAGGTATTTTACATTGCAAATGATTTTTAAGTGAAATATATATGTGATTTTTAGACGTCTGTCACAACATCAAGCCAAAATATTTCTATACTTATATCCAAAGGTATTAGTGGAAAAAACAATTTGTGTATTCTGCTGCTTTATGTTCTTATAATATGTAACTCATCCCATATGACAGTTTTTGCTGTAAGCCCTCAATTAATAAACTTCATTTAGTAGCATTTCCTGCTTCTGCTGGAACGAGAAAGGTTGGAGCAGGTTTTAATCTTCTATTAAGATGTTGCGTCTATAGCTAGGAGATACAACTAATTTTTATGAGTTTTACACAATGTGCGTTTTAATTAAAATGTAAGAAGAGCACTGCAGAATTAGCCACCAAGGTCCATCTAGTCTAGTTTTTTGACCAAATAGATGCATTTGGAAAGTCCACAAAGACAAAATATGTAGTATGAAGTTTAGCTATCTTACATACAGAAGGCTTATGAACTCTGTACCTTGGCCAAGTTTAGCTAGCATTTTTTCTCCTTAAGTAAGATAAAAACATGATTGCACACTCACATTAATGTCACTTACCAAAAGATACTGAAAGGCCTACTGTCTCTGATACCATAGGTAATATTGCCTATGACTAGTAGCCAGTGATTATATAATCTTTAATGAATTTATCCATTCCTCTTTTAAGGCCATCCCAGTTGGTTGCTGTCAGTAAATTTTGTGATCATCAAATGACATAAATAGTCAGTCCCACTGTACATCATTTAATATCTTCCATCATTGAAATGCATTTGCCATTTCATTTCTTTTTGCTATTCTTTTGTTTGTTTGGTTGATTGGCTTTAATTTTGCTAAATTTATTTGTTTATTTATTTATTTGATTAATATCCCGCCCATCTGGTCTGGATGACCACTCTGGGCGGCTTCCAATAAAATATTTAAAATAGAACTTAAGAATATTGCAAACAGTGTAAGCACACCCAACAATAAAACAAATAAAAAGGAAAGGAAAGAAAAGGAAAATTAAATATTGACCAGATTTTAAAATGGAAGGGGGAAAGTTTAAGATGAAGGCATGAGAATAATTAAGAGGCTGGTTATGACTGTCAGTGGTTTGCATAAGTACAGTTAGCAGAAGGATTTAAGGAAAATGAGAAAAATTTAGAATGTATTTAATATATGTATTTATATATTTATTAGATTTTTATCCTGTCGTTCTAGACAATGTCTACTCAGGCCTTTGAAGAACAAAGGCCCATCTCTGCAAAAGAATTATGTGATAAAGAGGATAATCTGGCTTCCAGAATGTATAAGTTATTATTGAAATATGATACAGAGGATGAACAAGTTGAAGGTTAAATGGGCACAACATTTTGGCTATACTGTAATATTCAAATGAAACAGTGGGAGAGAATGTGGAAATATGGATTGAAATTCACGATGATTTACAATTTAAACTTTTATAAAATGATGTACAGGTGTTGCTCGACACAAAAAATGGCTAAAATGCTGGAAATGTCAAGGGAAAAGGTTTACTGTATAATTTCTGGTGAACGTGTAAGATATCTAAAAAATTAAGGAAATCAGTTTACTTAATAATGCAAAAGTTATTGAAACTTAGTTTACAAATGAAACCTGAATTATCTCTGCTAAGCATAATTGACAAACACTTAATAACAAACCAGTACTTGCTTGATCCATGACAATGGCACAATATTGGAAGATGAAGCAAGCAAGAACAGTAGAGTACTTGCTACTCAAATATTTCTCAGTGGCTACTAAAGTCCTTGAAATGGTGAAATGGCAAAACTCTCAGAGCTTCTAAAATACACAGATCTAGCGGACTTTTAAAAAATATGGAAACCCATATGGGACTTTATATAAGATAAAATAAAATATTAACCTAGACATGCATGTGTGTGCACGTGTCTGGTCTCTGGGTGTCTGTGAATTTCGTTGTATGGTATACTGTGTATATACTTACAATGACAATAAATTATATTATTATTATTATTGTTATTGTTATTGTTGTTGTTGTTGTTATTATTATTATTATTATTATTATTATAACTTTGAATTGTAGAAATTGAGATAACAATATGTATAGTTTAGATTGGCAAAACTCTCAGAGCTTCTAAAAGACACAGGTCTAGCGGAAAAAATATGGAAACCCATAGGGGACTTTATATAAGATAAAGAAAATATTGACCTAGACATGCATAACTTTGAATTGTAGAATTTGAGATAACAATATGTATAGTTTAGATGTTGTTTCTGTTTTTACTCTTTATTAGTTATATAACAAACTTTATGATAATTATTAGTAATCAAGGAGGAACTGATTCCAAGAAAAACTGAGTAATGCTTGAGAAAATCCAAAGCATCATAGAGTGAGGAAACCATAAAATCGGTGGATCCTCCTGAAGCCCCTTTTCTGTCCCCTTCCCCCCCCCTTTTTGAATTGTTTTTATTTTTGTTTCTTCCCTTTTTGGTCAATATGTCTTTATTGTATCTGAAACTTAGTTTAAAAAAAAAAACATGACCCTCTACACTTGGGGTGGCATGCCAAGTGAACTGTTCTGCTTGGCCAAGCGTGAGAAGACAAAGAGCTTCCTTAGCCATCTCGGTTCATAAATCCCTAGTCAGGCAATACCTTCATAAGGGTCAGATTGGGTCGCAAACTGTGAGCACAACTTTGAGCTCCTCAGAACTGCGAAACTCCTACATAAATAAGGAATCTCGCGTCGTGGAAACCCTGTAAACCAGAAGGCGGGGTTCTTCAGAAGGGCGTGTCTTCGCTTTCGACCAATCCCGGAGCGGTGGAATTGTATTGTATTCTTTTCCGCTTGCTCACCCGCCGGCCCTGCCCGGGAGTGCCTGGCACCGCCCCGCCCCTGAGGAAATCAGGAACCAGCTGCCCGTCCGTCTGCCCTACACAAACTGCAAGCCGCCCGGGGCGGGGAGCGCGGCGGGCGCTGGAGGGAAGTCCAGGGCGAAGGTGAGCCCAAGGTAAGAGCCGGGGGAGCTTACGAAGAGGGAGAAGTACATAAAGACCCCGTTGGCAGCGGGGCTAGCTTTTGGCTGAGCACACACACGCCCCACATATAAGTGTCCAGGCGGATTGGTGTCACGCCCCGCCGTCCTCCTGCTGACAACAAGGCTGGCGGGTCACGCAGGATGATGGCGCAGAGTCACTCGCGTCGGGTTTAGAGTAACAATCGGGTCTTGTGGATACGTTAGAGGCGTAACACGTGCAGGTTTTACACAGCGGCGAAACTTTCTGTGCGCTCGGCTAAAGCATTCTCCAAGCATCACCTGCTTGGAGAGTGTACTTCAGCGGACACAACGAATTTTCCCAGAAATGGGTTGGGCTTCCACGCCCATCTGCTGTCTGGTATAGTCCTTCTCAAAGTGTGTATATGTGTAATATCTTGTTTTAATATTTTACTGTATATACATTCCATGGTATCACACCTGCTGTCCTGCTGATAGGGCTGGTGAGATAGATAGATAGATAGATAGATAGATAGATAGATAGATAGATAGATAGATAGATAGATAGATAGATATTAAATTAATTTTTAAAATGTTCAACAAACTGACAATGCTGCATCAGTTCCTGGCAAACTGGGGCAGGGAAAGGATTGTCCACCTACTGCATTAGAGGGTTTGAGAAGCCATATTTTGACTGAAATCTTGGAGCTAAATGTAGTAAAGTTGTGCTCAAGTAGGCCCATTGAATCAGTGGAGATTTGTTGAATCAGCTCCTCTGCAAATTCTATTAATTCAAGTGGGCCCTCTAGTTGTGCCTTACTAACCTAGCCAATAGGATTTCAGCCATAGATATAGACACATGGACATAAATGTAAAGAAAAATAAGTTTGGAGTTGATTTTTTTTTCTTTCCCTCACTCCCCCAACAAGGGTTTCTAGATTTTTATTGGGATCCCCTGGATGTGGAAGAAAAGTTTAGTAGTTCTCTGGTTTCCTACTGGATTTAAGGAGGAAAGCCCCATTACCCCACCTGGTAACAATTCAGTTATGAATTAAATGTATGCAAAAGAACTGTTCACAATAAGAGTACCTTTATTTATTTTTCTTTTATCAGCTACATTTACATACCTCCTTTCCTCCATTGAGCACAAGGCAGTGTTCACAGTTTTTCTTCTTATTTTATTCTCAAACTTCCCTGTAAACTAGAATGCTTTAAGAGAGAATGAGAGGAACAGCCCAAGGTCACCAGATGAGCCACATGATTCAGTGGAGACTTGAACCAGAAACATGAAAGTCTCAGTCTAGCTGTGCAAATGGTGGTACTGTACAGTTTACATTGCCTGTTGCGTTAACACACACAGAGTGGGAAAGGGAACCACGGTCACGGAGGTGGGTAATTTTTTTTTCTCTTGAAATCCGCATTCTCTTGAGAGTATGATCTGATGAGAATGCTTCCAATGTCAAGGTGGTTGGAACCATCCTGTTTCTCTCTCTCTAACGCTTTAGCTTTCTCCCGTCGCATTCTCTTTGAGAGTATGATCTGATGAGAATGCTTCCAATGTCAAGGTGGTTGTAACCATCCTGTTTCTCTCCAACCCTTTAGCTTTCTCCCGTTGCATTCTCTTTCCTTCTTTCTCTCCTCCACTCCACACCATGCATAGTGATGAATACTTTCTTTCAGAGTACTTCTGAAATTTAGGGGAAAGGCTGTGTTGGAGCTCAAGGACTAAAGGTTGCCCACTCATGCTCTCTTCAGACCTAAATGAATAGTACCGCAGTTCCACACCAGAGGTTTGCAAGATGGCCACCATAAAATGAATGTCAGAGAGGCTTGAAATATTTTCCTACTGATTTCTAAATACTGGCTCTTCTGATGTCAGATTCACATCCATTTATTCTTTGTGTAATGCACAGTGCTCCGCTTGTCCTATGTAGAATACAGAAGAGCATTGCTGGCAAATGGTAGTCTAGATCATACCAATACAGAAGAGCATTGCTGGCAAATGGTAACCGTCCTAGATCATACTGAAAGATGACCAGCTAAATGAGCATTTTGATACTGTGGCTGTCATTGTGAGGTCATGCAATAATGTTTCCAGAAGATCTGTGGTGGGGACAGAGTTCATGTCCCTTTGCTTTCTGGCAGGTAACGAACTGCTAGACAGGAAACAGTTCAACAGGTGCAGTATTTAGTGGCATGGATGTACTGTGATAGAGGAGCTGTGTTTGCACTGTTGAATTTTGTCAGTCATGCAGCAGCCCCCAAATTTGAAGGTCCTGTAGTGTCATGATTAGGAACGTGAATGAGCTTTTGAAACATGCACACTGATTAGATCAATTTACCTGTTTAGAAACTTTATTAATTTTATTCTATTCTGTTTTGTTTTGATTGATTGGTTGATTTAATACGCCACTTAATATATCTAAAACAATGTCTCAGCAGTGTAAAGCAGAGGAAAACATACTAAAAAGACAGTGGCTAAAATCTGCTTTTGCAGTTATTCAAAAAGCATAAAATTGAGTGACACTTTGCTATATGTTAAGAAGACTCTGAAGGCGTTATCTGTTGCAAATGAATTGTTATTTGATAGATAATGCCTATAAAGCGCTTAAAGTTTTGTCTTTTGCAGAATCGTGCAACAAGATTTGGACCAATAATATAACTGAAATCAAACAAGTATTTTTTCCTGATCAGTGAGGTTCAGCCCCTGGCTTCAGTTACTCCTCCTGCTTTGTTTCAAGGATGTATCTATCTTCCAGATTTGTTGTAAGGGTTACTTGGATAGGAATAAGTCAAGGAATAGGGGTGCTTTTAGTCTCCAGACCATGGGCCCATTTGCGCAGCATCATTTTCTATGACTGCAAGCAGCTTTCCAAATTTTAGACCCATCTGTGGGAGGTTACTTGTTTTGGTCATGCTGATCAGGAGAGTCCAGGAAAGTTACTTTGGCCAAACTCTAGCTGCTAGAGATTTTTCTTACCTTTACCTTCTGAAGTTCTAGATACTGAATGCATCTGCCAAAAAATTGTGTGCTCCGCCATCCCACCCCATTGTAATTGAATGATAAGTTCTATAAAATGATCTGAAGTCTATTGCCAAGTGTTTTTTGCTAGTTCCTATGTCATGGACAGCTACTCATTCTGCAAACATTAGCAGCTGACAGTTTTTTTTCCTCCTGCTGTGAAATAGTTGATCACCTGATTTCTGCAGCTCAAATGATTGTTTAAGACAAAGAAATAGATAGGTTTGCTGAACAACTAGGTCACCTAGTAAGCCCTTCTTGGAGTATACCAAAGGACTACACGAATACTAAAGATCAAATATTATTGTTAATAATACTGAAAGTTCAAGAGCCCTGCCAGATATGTGGCATTGTTAATTGTTGGAAATTGTTGGTATACCAACTCTGTACAGTACAGTATTATTATTTCCATTAGTGATACAATATAGCTTGGAGAAGCTACATTTTTACAGTACATTTTACAGAATTTTCCAGACAGGTGTATAGTCTTTTCTGTGAGCTGTAGTCTGAAAGATTAAAATTTCCAACCCGTGCCATGCTGCTGTCTCTCTCTCTCTCTCTTTCAATGCATTCAGTAGAAATGGCTGGGATTCTTGAGAGTGAGGTCAGAAGGAAATTAAGCTGAAAATATTGGCAAGGATTGCATTACATTAATACCTGCCATTCCCTAAACCTGTTGCTAACAAACGCCTTGGTACTAGGTACATGGATGAAAATGTAATAAGAATCCATGATCTCAATTCAAACCTTAGTGACAGAATGGGATTTCTTGAACAATTGTAATGGAGCAGTCTTTCTGTCTTTAATATCTCCACAGCCTTTGCTCCGTGTCTTTGTGCCAGAGTGGCAACTTTAATAAACACTCCCAGAGCATTCTGGGAGATGGAAACATTTGCCCACTGTTTTTAAGTATTGCCCTTTCTGATGTCAAATCTGTGTCCACAAAGACATTGTCCGGTTCACTTTATGCAGAGTTCTGAAGGGCATTTCTGAGAGAAGATAATATGCATCACATTGGAAGATGGGCAAGCAGACAAACCCCTTGATGTTGTGGTGATTTTAAAATGATGGCATTTCTGCAGTCGACATGGGGACAGGTTTGGCACCTGGATTTGTTGCAGGGTCTGGTTCCCATGTTTCTGTGATCTCTGAGTAGGGTGTTCTTAGTTGTTTGAGGCCAGGGGTGTCTGCAAGCAAGGCCTATCATGCCAGGGGTGTGCGAGGGAGGTGCCACTGTCAAAGAAGATTGGTAACTCATTAATGGGACCTTTGTTTTAGTGATTTTAGTTGGGAAATACAAGTTACAAAAAAATGATGTTTTTCCACTTCCATGTGTGTCATGTAGTCAGTGATTCCTAAGCTCTAGTGAGGCTTTATCAATTTGTCGCGTCAGTTTGTGGGCTAGTACTGTATGTAGTCTGAGAAATGTCTTAATCAGTGGGTCAACCCAGGCTTTTTGCAAACGAATAAGTGGTTGATTCTTGTTCTTGGTTAGCCATGAAGTAACTTTCCTACAGGATTTTAGCGGGTGCATGTGAGGCAGGAAAAACAGAAGTGACATTTGTGTTTTAACTATTAGAAGGAAGTCTGTGAGACACTGATATATGAAATCTTTCTAATAATAGGCATGTGTCAGAACTGTGGGATTTTTCTTTTAATTTTTAAAAAACTTGATTGTGTGTTAAGCGATTAGAATATAGCTATATATCTCGCACGGATAAATGAACCAAATAATAAAATAACACCAGTGACAGAGCAATATGTTATCTTCTCAAAAAGACCTGTTATGATTTAATATGGATTACTATTACAGTATATCCTAATAGGTTGCTCATGCTGGCTGAATAGCTCATTCTAGTTTAGGTATCTGGTCGCAGAGCCAGAGGCTGAGTGATTCCCTAGTGTACCTCCTGGGAGAAAAGCCGATTTGTGTAGCTGTGGGCAAGCTACACAGTCCAAGGGCACCTGCAGAAAAATGGTAAACCACTTCTGAGTATTTTCTACCTAAAAAACCATGGAACAGTTTGCCAGAAGTCAGAATTGACTTGATGGCGCGCTATCATTACCATTAATAGAGCGTTTCTTTAAATTCCATGTGAAAATGGAGACTGTTGTCCACTTTCTTCCTTCTCTGGAATAAATATAATAAATGGGTGCCATATTATATTGAAATCCATTTGCTCATTAGCTGTTTGTATTTCTTGTGTTAGCCTTTTGCCAAGGGCTATGACCTATACCCATTTATATCAGCTGTTCAAGGACAAGGTTTTGTAAAACCATCTTCCAATTGTCAGCCCAATTCTTGTTTGCTGCTACAATAGAAATCTTAATGGATTTTTATGAAACAGCTTTGTATTCTCACCTGTAAATAGATGTAACTGTAGAGTTTTCAATCAGTCAGTCAATCAAACCTTTATTGGCATACACAAAACACCTAATCAAAACGACATTCAGTAAGACACACTCTCCATCCTATCCTATGTACCTTGTAATAATAATAATTAAAAATTTTATTGTCGTAATTAGCCTAGTGATTACATCAGAGGATCCATAAACCTGGCTCACGCAGTGGGTGCTGGTTCAAAACGTGCTATTTTTGGCCTGTTCACTATGTGTGTTAAGAAGCATGCTACTTTCTCCACTCTGTCATTTAATAGAAAATGCATTCTGTCTATATCTGAACACCCTCTTACCTTGAGCAATACTGAGCCCAGATACAGTGGTGCCTCGCTTAACGAGTGCCTCGTTTAGCGATGAATTCGCATAACGATGATTTTAGAAAATAATATGCACCGTATAACGATGTTTCCTATGGGCGATTTTCGCTTAGCGAAGTTTGGGACCATGCTTCGCATAACGAATGCGATTTTAGGTCCCCTGCTTCACTTAACGATGTTTCTTTTTTCAATTTAAAAAGTGTCTTAGAAGGGTCAAAAACAGTTCTAAATGCTTGGATGCGTTAGAGGACCCCCTAAGTCATGTGCAAACTTGATTTGGCTTTGATCTGACTTTTCGTTAATTTATGGT